TAGCCGGTGGTGGTCTCTGGCCGCCGGCGGGGCCAATACAAGTCGGGAAACCGAGGCGTTCGGGGGAGGTGGGGGCCCTCAGGCGGACAATCGCAACGAAGAGCTGGCGAAGCTGGAGATCGCCGTGCTGGCAGTGACTTTCGTGGTGGCGGTGCTGGGCAACAGCAGCGTGCTGCTGGCGCTGTACCGCACGCCGCGCAAGATGTCCCGCATGCACCTGTTCATCCGGCACCTCAGCCTGGCCGACCTGGCGGTCGCCTTCTTCCAGGTGCTGCCGCAGCTCGGCTGGGACATCACCTTTCGCTTCCGCGGCCCGGACTGGCTGTGCCGCGTGGTGAAGCACCTGCAGGTGTTCGGCATGTTCGCCTCCGCCTACATGTTGGTAGTCATGACAGCCGACCGCTACATCGCGGTGTGCCACCCGCTCAAGACGCTGCAGCAGCCGGCGCGCCGCTCGCGCCTCATGATCGCGGCCGCGTGGGTGCTGAGCTTCGTGCTGAGCACGCCGCAGTACTTCATCTTCTCCATGGTCGAGGTGAACAATGAAACCAAGACCCTCGACTGCTGGGCCACCTTCATCCAGCCCTGGGGGCCCCGCGCCTACGTGACTTGGATGACCGGGAGCATCTTTGTGGCGCCCGTGGTCATCCTGGGCACCTGCTACGGCTTCATCTGCTACCACATCTGGCGCAACGTGCGCGGAAAGACCCTGTCGCGCCAGAGAAAGGGCGCGGAGAGCGCGGGGGGCGCCTTGCACAGGGGATTCATGCTTGCGCCCTGCGTCAGCAGCGTGAAGACAATTTCCCGCGCCAAGATCCGCACGGTGAAGATGACTTTCGTGATCGTGACGGCTTACATCGTCTGCTGGGCGCCCTTCTTCGTCGTCCAGATGTGGTCCGTCTGGGATGCGCAGTTCGTCTGGATTGGTAGGTCCTTGACAGCAGAGGAAGGTGCAAGGATGGGGCACGCACGTACTTGTATGTGTGTGTGTGTGAGAGAGAGAGAGAGACAGAGAGAGACAAAGAGACAGAGAGACGGAAACAGACAAAGAGAAAAGTATAGGGATTGAGAGACAGAGACAGAGAGACAGAGACAGACAAAGAGAAAAGGACAGGGATAGAATGGTAGTTCCTAAACCTCTGTGTACAGAAGAATCACACCTTGAGGGGCAGTAGTCAAGCATGCAAACTGCTGGGTCTCCAACTCAGACAATATATTTTAGTATTTCTGCAATAAAATAGAACGGAGCCCAGGAATCTGCGTGCCATGACCACAAATCCCAAAACTGGGTGCTAGAGTTAGCTACACAACTACCAAACACAGTAATGACCTTTTGCCAAACTACTAATTGCTGTTAATACCCTGCTTTTGAATCTGATTCTAGAAAATATTTTGACTGTCACAACTGCTTTTGGTTGGACTGTGAAAAGTATCAAAGTAATTAAAAAAGAAGTTCTATTATATTACAGACTTATTTCTCAGAAGAAAGCTGGAGAAAGATTCTTAAGAAGTTAAGAACTCTACATTGGCATTTACCTAATGTTTCCTCTCTTACTATACTCTTAAAACGTTCTAACAATAATTACTTTAACAAAGGTTCCCCAGTATTTCAAAGCAGGGTTATTAATAAATTAAGTGGTTAGACTAATTCATTAGTCTTTCAGCAGCAATTGGACCACAGCACTGTAGAACCCCCACACACAAGGGCTGCAGCAATTTGCTGGGAACGGTCTTAACGTCTACTAGTTTGTTTGATTTTCATTCCTTCACAAACTCGAAAAACTTATTTTATAGGGATGTGCAAATTTTAAAAAAAAACACATGATTTAATTTTGCCTTGTAAAAACTATCCCACACACAAGGGCTGCAGCAATTTGCTGGGAACGGTCTTAACGTCTACTAGTTTGTTTGATTTTCATTCCTTCACAAACTCGAAAAACTTATTTTATAGGGATGTGCAAATTTAAAAAATCCACATGATTTAATTTTGCATTGTAAAAACTATTTTCTTTTAGTAACAAAAAACTTTAAAAAATTAAATACATTATAGGAATAATTGTTTCCAATAACAACTGTGGACTTGAAATAAATATCTTGGAAGAGTTGTCTTCCTTTGTTTTAGGAGAATTAGAGTAGAAAAGTACACTGATAGGCTTTGAAAGTTATATTCACAAATAAAAACATTTGAGTGTGAACTGAATTTAAACAAATAAATATTCTTGCAGACTATATTATTACATTAATGAAAATAGAACATAAATGTATTATTTTTGGCTTATCATTTCTGGTTTGATCAAAGAAGTCTCTTACTATTGCCAATCAAATAAAAAGTGCCGTTTAACTATTGCTTTCCTGGGGCTTGGATGCAACCACTGAAAATGTCTTCACTTGTGCATTGATACATTGATGATTTTGTCTTTTTGAATACTGTCTTAGCTATGGATTGTCATCACTTTTCACAGTAACACGCAGTGCAAAATATGATGAACTAACCTGGCATTCATTCTGGCGTAGTGAGAGTGGGAACATACAAGTTTCTACTAAGATATCAAAGGAAATCAGTGTCTTCTTCTTATTCTCATATTCTAAAAAGGTACAGGACCGTCATTTCACAGGGAAAGGTTATAATATTTATGTACTTTACTAGTGCTAGTGAAAACAAAATGTGTCAGAGTCCTGCTGGAATTTCCCAATTCAACCGTTGTCCTTAATGTAATTTACTTATTTGAACTACAGTGCAAGATGCTTTTCATTTCAAATCAAACCAAATGTCTAGTTAACCAAAGAAAAACAACTAAAGCTTACATTCTTCAGGGGCCTAGGTTGACTGACTTCTCCCCTACAGTTTTCACATCAAAAGAATGTGTTTAATATTTAAATCAGTAAAACTGTAAAACAAGGTTCGTTATGCCATACATTTGCCTGCTTATTAGGATAAATACAATTTGTCATATGCAGTTGTAGATTCTTGAAATTACATCAAAATTTTAGCCATGCTGTAAAAGCAGTGTCCATTAGCAAATGCTAGTGCTAGCTTAAAAGACATAGAGGGATTTTTTTTCTTTTTTTTTTTTTTTAAATTTTATTTTATCAGAAGGCATGTGTGCTCACCAGAGATGGAGAAAGACAGAGAGATGAAAGTGAGAAAGGACTCTTCCTCCTCCAGATGAAGCATTGTCACAGTGCCATGCCTCCCCCATTTCTCCCTTTTCTCGGGATTTTGGACACACACGCTCGGTGTGCTTTTCAAGCCGCTGCCTCAGGGACCCAGCCTGCACAGTTAGCCTCGTGGGATCCAGCTGCCGTAATCACCGTACTACTGGCTGGCCCAAACATTTTTAAAATGAATCATTTAAAATCTTGACTTCTTAAAGTTCCCACTCATTCTATTTAAATATTATACAACAGTGGTTTAAAAATAGTTGCACCTATCTTAAGAAAAATGTTTTACAATCAATTCCCAAATGCCACCAATTTCCTGACCAATAAGTAAAACAGTTCATTTTCTGTGCTAACCCGTAACTCTTATTCTCTTAGTCAATAGAGAAATGTGTTTATCTGATGCTTAGTTACTTGCATTGGATTGTTTATAAAATCCCCCTTTTTTGGTTTCGTGCAGAATCGGAAAACCCTTCCACGACTATCACGGCGTTACTGGCTTCTTTGAACAGTTGCTGCAATCCCTGGATATACATGTTTTTTAGCGGCCATCTCCTGCAAGACTGTGTTCAAAGCCTCCCGTGCTGCCAAAACATGAAGCAAAAATTCAACAAAGAAGAAACTGACAGTCTGAGCAGAAGACAGACTTCTTACTCAAACAATAGAAGCCCAACAAACAGCATGGGTACCTGGAAGGACTCACCTAAATCTTCCAAGTCCGTCAAATTCATTCCTGTTTCAACCTGAGCCCTGCGTTCTTGCAGCTTGACTTTCATAACTGAGTTTTCAGTCCATTAGCTAAATCCATCTGGAAATCACAAGAACAAATGAACTGATACGAGATAAGCATACATCAAGTCATTGGGTACAAGACTGTGTTTCTAGGGTAGTCGCATCTTCACGTTGCCATGAACAAAACTATGAATTATTTTATACAAAATGTTAACAAAAACATACTATGGTAAAATGTACAAGCCTCATTGCCAGAAATATAATATACTAAGTTATATTTCTGAAGGTAAAAAAATAACCAGTCTGGTTTTACATTTTGTTGTTGATATATTTTATTTTCATTTCTGACATAATAAGGCTTCAGTGGTTTAAAAGTCGTAAAAGATACGGGCACTACTGAATAAAAGAAGCCTTTTCATCATTAGACTTAGAATTTAGAGGACACTTCAGAGAATTTAGGGTTCCATCCAATAAGGTCAATTTATATATCAGAAAATGCAGCTCTCAAGAATACCCTGGAGTTTGGGACCAGCAGTTAGCTTAATGGCTATGTCGCTGGACTCCCATGTATTAGACCGCGGGTTGAGTCCTGGACCTAGTGGCTTAAACTCATGTTGGGCGCATGTGTGTGCATGCATGCCCAAGATCCCGAGAGGAGAATGGAGGAGAAGGGATTGCGGCATGGCCATTCCCCCATCCCCGAGGGGTGATTTCTTGCTTTCTGTCTGTGTCTGTCTGTCTTTCTGGAGAGTGCATTCACCCTATAGCAAAAACCTCTCCAAAAAAAGAAAAAAAAAAAAAAAAGAATACCCCAGAGGTGGACAATGCCTGAAAAGGTATAATGCCTGTAGCATATGAGCAGGAGATGGTACTTCCGAGTAAAAAGAGGACAGTTCCTTAAAGCTATAACTTACTCCACATTTCAAAATGGTAATTTTAGAACTGGCAATGCCCAGGCTGACTGTGGCCTAATGGTTAAGGTGACTGGATCCCACATGGCTGACCCCAAGGTTGAAGTCCTGGACCTGGCAGCTCGAGAATCATTCCGGGAGTGGGTGTGTCTATGCACAAACTTCTGACAGGATAAGGAAATGAAAGAGAAGGGATTGTGGTGTGACCATGCCCCAGGTGGAGGGTGAGGGATGCTTTCTCCTTCACTCTCTGTCTTTGGCAAGTGCAGGTGGCCTCTGTCAAAAAATGAAAAAAGAGGGGCCAGCAGATGGTGGCGAGGTGACATGACTGGACTCCCACATGGTTCACTGCGGTTTGATTCCCAGATCCAGTGGCTTTAAATTCACACAGTGGGTGTGTGTGCATATCTAAGATCCTGGGAGGAAAATGGAGAAGATGGGATTGTGGCATGGCCTTCTTCCCTGGGGTTGATTTCTCACTTTCCCTCTCACTGTCTCTGTCTCTCTGGCAAATGCATGCACCCTAAGGCAAAAACCTCTGAAAAGTAAATAAATAAATAGAAAAAAGAAAGAACGAGTAGTACCCTCCCTTAGGTTCTCATGCCTATTGACTGTAGAAGGCATGGGTACTGATTCTGAAGGTTAGAGAAACTGTTATCTACTGGCAGATAATTTTTTTTTATCCCATTGCAAGACTGTTTTAAAATCAAACTTATATGAGGAATGCCAAATTTTATTAGAAGAGTAGAAAAGGATTGCATAAGGTACTCTGTAGTCTTTCTCTTCAACACCGTAAGCTTATTTTGGCCAGTGGTACAAAGTATCCTGTACGATGCTGGCTACTTACACAAGTACTGTCTTTAAGTTGGGGGAATCCTGATTCATAGATAAGAGAGTCTCCTGAGAAGTGACTCAGGATATACGATCAGAAATGGCTGTACAATCTGTACAATCAGAAACGGCTTGGTTTTCCTTTCCAATCTTCCTCCACTCCAATAGTTTCATAGAAGGGAAAAGGCAGAATTGGGGTTAAGGGAGAGAGGTGGGTGGAAAGAGACCCTCTAGGTGCCTATTTTGGTTTCTGTCATTTGTAACTGCATGCCTTTGGGCAGGTTACTCACGCACATCCAGCCTCTGCTTCCGTGGTGTGCAATGCAGTTAGACGCTTACTCACACGGTTGTTGTGAGGGCTTAGTGCAATCGAATGTGTGAAAAGAGCTCTATAAACTAGTGGGTTGTCGGGAAAGTCATGACGCATTTTTGCATAGAAAAATATGTTATGACTTACTCAACAACCCAATATAAACTGTTATACATCTGCTAGCAGTTGTTTTTATTTTAGTCTTGGGAGCTTCAAAATTACACAGCTTTTTTTTTTTACTGTTTATTTTTCATTAACTGGAATGGTTGGTTCCATGCCTGGGATACACAATCCTAAAATTTAAATATAGATCTGCTGATTCACTGGAATACATTGCCAGTGACCACGAGATGACTTCTTCCTGACCAAAGTTTTCCAATTTAAAGAAAGACTTTGCTTTCCTGTGAATACAGGTAAATCCAAGCCAGCCACAAGCATCCATTGGTTTCATTTCCAGAGACTAATTACAACACTGCCTGGCAAGTGTGATCGCACTTTTCATTAATGGAACTCGGGGGTGGGGGTGTCTAGCCATTTTATTGGGCTCCTCCTCTATCATGCACCTATTTTGGATACATCATAAATATTTCCTGCCCTTGAAAAAAGTAGAAACTGTTTTTGTTGTGGTTCATTTTCATTTTGCCACATCCATTCACCAAAGAAAGAAAGACTCTCCCTTGGAGAATGGCCAGGCCACAATCCCATCTCCATCTCATCTCCCTTTGCGATTTTGGGCATGCTCCTCACCCTGTGTGGTTTATTTTCTTCTGAAAAAGACAGGCAAAAACTCTTCCCATTTGGAGTACACATCCATTCACCAAAGAAAGAAAGACTCTCCCTTGGAGAATGGCCAGGCCACAATCCCATCTCCATTTCATCTCCCTTTGTGATTTTGGGCATGCTCCTCACCCTCTGTGGTTTATTTTCTTCTGAAAAAGACAGGCAGGCAAAAACTCTTCCCGTTTGGAGTATGGTTCTGAGATACATAAATGGCAATCTGGGGGTGCATAACATTAAGAAATTTTAACATCTAGATGAAATTTTTCATTCTAAACCCCGACAAATAAGACCATATGTTTGGCAAGTGCAAAACTGGCACCTGGAACTTCTCGGGTCTCCCAGCTATCTTCTACTGTTACATCTCCTGATGCCTCTAAAGGGAGAAAACATGATTGGACAGGTTGGCATGTGCCTTATTTAAGATATGCTCCCAGAAGTACTATGCAAACTTTTTTACGTGGGGGTTCACATCGACACTTTGAAACAGAACCTATACAAGAACCATGAAATGTTTTCTTTAGAAACGGATTTTTGAAAAACGTGAGATCATCACTATTATAATCCAAAAGAGTGTCGTTTTTGAATCATTATGGAGAAGTCTTAAAGTTCTGACGATCTTACATAAGGCAGTGTTACAGAGATGGTATGCTGACTCAAATAATGAAATACTGGTTCATTTAATTGATGGCTTATATGGAACAGTGCCCTTTAAGACACATATTTGTTATTTTTAGAAGTAAGAAATCTAAGACATAAGACCTAATCTCTATAGAACATTTGGAAAGTTTTTTGAGGCATACCAGTCCAGGGTGTCTAAGAATTTGGAAAGGCAGGAGAATGAGGAGGAGTAACACTGATGGTTCCAGGTTCGCTCAGTGCCATCCAGCTAGCTCATTCTCTTATCTACAAAGTTAGAAAAGAAACCTGATACTAGAATGAAAAGCAACTACGTGGGTCAGCACATGATGTGCTGGTGCAGGCCATTGGATCCCACATGCTTATGGTGCACTTCAAACCCTAGACCCAGCAACTTGAGGTACACGTGTCAGGAACCTGTGTATATGTGCCCAAAATCCCAAAAGAAGAGAGAGACAAAGCAGGGATTTTGGTGTGATCACGCCCCATGGGGGAGCTTTTGTTCTCTTCTCCTCCCCCATCTCTCTTTCATAAGCACAGACCCAATCCAGCAAAATAAAACAAAAAGACAGAATGTGAAACTACTCGGCTTTTTATTTTGAAATTTTATTTGTAATGTACCTGTGAAGAAAGTTAGTGAAATTCTTGGGCCAATTACACACTTGTCCTACATACAGAATTTCCATTGTCATGTTTTATATCATAACTAAAAGAAGAGTGTGCTTTCAGAAAGAAAAACAAGATCAAGTAGTTTTAATAATATGTGGTATCCTCTCAAATTTATCACAGTTCCTAGAATGGGTAACCTACACAAGTAAAGTATTTCATTTAGGTTAATTTTATGCTTTTAGTCTCTAAAACCTATAATTTGGAACTTAATTAGACACTTGATAAATAAAAATACATATGTGACAGGTCCAGCAGGTGACATAGTTATTAAGGTGCTAGACTTTCACATGTCCAACAGTGGTTCAGGTCCCATGCCCAGTGACTTGAAACTCATGTGGGGCCTGTGTGCCAAAATCACAAGAAGAAAATAGAGAAGAAGGGATTGTAGTGAAGCCATTCTCGAGAGGGTGATTTCTCACCTTCTTTCTCTCTGTCTTTCTACATCTCTCTGGTGAGCACACGCACCCTATAGCGAAAATCTCTCTCTCTCAAAAAAAAAAAATATATATATGTGACTTTTACTGTATTAGCATCAAAAACATATATTATTTTGGCTAAAAATTAAATGTCACTTTTTTAAAGTATTCACACATATACGCACACACATACACACACGAAGTAATTTCAAAATGTTCATGAAAAATGGAATTCTGAGTTTATTTTGGTGCCAAAAATTTTGAAATCCGTACACTGTTTGATTATTACAAAAAAAAGTTAATATAGATTTGAAATTCACATCACCATAACTTATGACATTTATAAAATACCTTCTCTTTATGTAGTCAACCTTTTTTCTGAGTTAACTTACCTTGCCATCCTTTTCTCCATCCTTTTCTTATTTTCCTCACCTTTTCTAGTGTAGTTACATTAAAAATGTGATAGACTCCTCCTACCCCTAGTAGGATGGGGGTTACTCTGATATAAGCTATGGTGGTTACCATTAAAAATTTGTGATAGACCCTTTAACTTTACACCAACACTTAGATATTGTCTGTATCCGTCCTTTCCCTTCACCCCCAAGTATGCTGTTAGCTGTCCATACTTCTGGTTAGAAATGAAATGTTTTACTTTCTGGTTTACTGTCTATTTTTGGTATTGGTATGAAGAACATATATTATGCATATTTGTTTGTAGTCACATGCACACACACCCCATTGCTGAAGTATATCCGTCAACA